GAGGAATCATTCATTAACGCAAAGGAATTATGTATTGAAATTAAAATGGAAACCTAAGCAGGTCCTATGAAATAGGAATACAAGCCTCAATGGCCTATGACTTAGAGTGATTGAGATGTACAGCATGGAAACAGACCCTTCAGTCTAACTCGTCCATGCCAACCAGATATCCTAAATTAATTTAGTCCCATTTGCCAGCATTTAGTCCATATCCCTCTAATCCTTTTCTGTTCATATACCCATCCGGATGCCTTTTAAATGCTGTTTTTTACCAGCCTCCACCACTTCCTCCGGCAGCTTATTCCATTCTCGCACCACCTTCTGCATGAAGAAGTTGCCCCTTAGGTCTTTTTTAAATCTTTTCCCTCTCACCTTAAGCCTATGCTCTCTGGTTTTGGACTCCCCCACCCTAGAGAAAAGACCTTGTCCATTTACCCTACTCATGCCCCTCATGATTTTATAAATCTTTATAACGTCACCCTCAGCCTCTGATGCTCTAGGGAAAATAGCCCTAGCCTATTCAGTCTTCTCTGAACCCTTTCAAGTTTCACAACATCCTTCCTATAGCAGGGAGACCAGAACTGCATGCTGTACTCCAAAAGTGGCCTAACCAATGTCCTGTACAGCCATGTCATGACCTCCTAACTCCCATACTTAGTGCACTGACCAATAAAGGCAAGCACACCAAACGCCTTCTTCACTATTCTGTCTACTTGGGACTCTACTTTCAAGGAACTATGAACTTGCACTCCAAGTTCTCTTTATTCAGCAACACTTCCCAGGACCTTCCCGTTAAGTCTTGACCTGATTTGCTTTTCCAAAATGCAGCACCTCACGTTTATCTAAATTAAAATCCATCTGCTACGCCTTGGCCCATTGGCCCATTGGCCCATCTGCTCAGGACCCCGCTGTACTCTGGGATAACCTTCTTTGCTGGCCACAACATCTCCAATTTTGGTGTATTCTGCAAATTTACTGACCGTACCTCCTATGTTCACATCCAAATCATTTATGTAAATACTGAAAGGCAGTGGACCCAGCACCAAACTTATGGCACCCTGCTGGTCACAGGCCTTCAGTCTGAAAAACAACCCTTCACCACCACTCTCTGTCTTCTATCTTTGAGCCAGTTCTGTATCTAAATGGTTAGTTGTTCCTGTATTCCATGTGATCTAACCTTGCTAACCAGTCCACCATGAGGAACCTTTTCGAATGCCTTACTGAAGTCCATATAGATCACATCCACTGCTCTGCCCTCATCAGTCCTCTTCGTTACAAAAACAGAAGATACTGGAAAAGCTCAGCAGGTCAGGCAGCATCTGTGAAGAACAAATCATAGTTAATGTTTCGGGTCCAATGACCCTTACTCAGATCCTCAGTCCAATTGTAAGGAAGAGTCACCGGACCCGAAACATTAGCCCTGATTTTATCTTCGCAGATGCCGCCAGACCTGCTGAGTTTTTCCAGCAACTTCTATTTTTGTTCCTGATTTACACCATCTGCAGTTCTTTTCAGTTTTTAATCCTCTTCGTTACTTCTTCACAAAACTCAATCAAGTTAGTGAGACACGATTTCCCATGCACAAGGCCATGTTGACTATCCCTAATCAGCCCTTGCCTTTCCAAAGACATCTAAATCCTTTCCCCTCAAGATCCCCTCTAACAACTTGCCCATCACTGATGTCAGGCTCATCGGTCTATAGTTCCCTTCCTTACCACCTTTCATAAATAGTAACATGAAGATTCAGACATCCAGATTGTTCAGTTTGAAATGTGTTTACCTGAAACGATCTACCTGTTTATACAAACATTGGTGTAGCTGTGCTATTGAATATTTAGGCCCAGCCTGCGATTAAGATTTTACAGAGCTAGATCTTTGTCTGAAAAATAATGATGTCTGAATGCTATCTACACTGTTAATATGTAAATTGGCCACAGCTTGTAGTAAGGAAGAGATACCCTGTGAATTGTGAATCACTACAAGTTTTTGACTAAGTTGCACCACTCTGCCTTTGGTTTCACAGAAATCACATTTTTTTTGTTTAACCTATCCATAATTTTGATGAACTTGCTAAATTTAGATATTAATTCCCAAATAAACTTGCCACATGAATTTAAGCCCAGTAACAAGCACTCTTTCCGTCCTTGAGAATGACTGCCAATCAAGCTTGCCCCGAAAGTAAAGAGTTGAATGTAGAGTCTCATTCCTTCAGGTTATGACTTGTTTTGGATGATCTTAAAAATTACAAACTTTGACTCATTAAATATATTTTGCTTTTGTTCTTTTCATCTCCTGGTTAATTCATTCCCTCATACCCACTTTTTATGTTTCAGTGTCGGATTTGACTCTAACTCACCTGCTCAGCCCTTCCTTTGCTTTTTTTTCCAGTCCTCACATCTCATTAGTTAAAGTGATACAACATTGATTGCATTGCTCACCGAGGCTCCAAATGTCCAGTTATTCTAGCCGTGGGGTAATCAGCTTGGACTTCTAGCAACATTGTGGGGAAAAATGTTTTAAATGTAAACATGCATCAGAAAGTGTAGTTAACAGGATTCAGCCTTACTGCTGCAAAATCTATCCCTTTATAAACAGGCCATTCAGCCCAAGTGACTAGTGTTCGTACTCCATACAAATCTACCCCCATCCTATTTCATGTAACCTTGTCGGCACGCACTTCTGTTCATTTCTGCCACCGATATTTATCTAGCTCTCCCTTAAAAGCGCCTATGTAAGTCACTTCAGCTACTTCTTGCAGTAGCAAGTTGCACATTTTAACCACTCTCTCGGTGAAGATGTATTTCTTGGACTCCCTGTCAGATTTATTAGTTACCATCTTATTTCTATAATCTTTACTTTTGAACTCCCACAAGTGGAAACACCTTCTCTAAATCTATCACATCCATCTCTTCTAGATTTTCAAAATTACCTGTTCACTCACCTCTTGGTATTCTTTTCCTAGAGAAAAAAAAGCTGCAGGCTGCTCACTTTTTTTTCCCGTAGCTACTACGTGTCATTTCTGGAATCTGTGTAAATTGAATTTTTACCTTCCTCAATGCCTCCAGAAACAAAGTGTATTTTGGAGACAAGAACTACATGGTACACTCAATTAAATATAGTTCAACTAAGGTTTGTACTAAACCTCTTTGTAGCGTAACCTCTTTGCTTCTCAATTTTGTTTCTTTAAAAATAAAGTTATTTTCAACCAGTTTAATACAAATCAAATCAGAACCAATATAACAGTATTTGTACAGAAGTCTAGGGGCCTGCTTCCTTGCACTGACCCTGAGAATGCAAATGGCAAACCACCGTTTACAAAACCTGCCAAGAAAATGGCTTAGGATGAAACATCAGCAGACAGTTAAAGACCTGCCTTTAGGCAAAGCACTCATAACATGACATAACATGAATGATTGTAGTCAATGGGATTGAGAGAAGTCACCAATGGCAGATGATCCAAAATAAAGCAAGAATTATTTAATCATTTTAAATGCTGAGGCTGGGCTCGAACATAACTTCGAATAAATGTCAAATGATGATTTGCTGGTTCTGATATAAGTTTTATTTACTTGCATTGTAATTGAATGGTAATGATTGACTGGATGAAGAGGTTATAATGACTTGAAAATTTGACTTCTAGGGGCATGTCAGAAATCAACATTTTTTCCAGTAAAGCTATAAAACTATTAAGTCATATCTGCAATGCATTGCTTTACAATTCATTTGACATAATTAATTGCTATTTGGTTGTGTTTTTATTTATGCAACATCTGTTTTCAATTTTTAATTTTTACATTGATTGTTACAGGTTCGCACTCTCAAATCTAGCAGCCTCAAAATTTTTCAAAAAAATGTTTTAATTCAAATTGAAATGCCTTAGCTCAGTGAACAGAGAGTATGCAGGAAAACCAACCAATAGGATTGTAAAATACGATAGATTAATGGCCATGTTGCTGCTGATACTAATTCACTTCTCATGTGTTGCATTTAATAACTCTCTTGTGCTTTCCCTCACTTCCCTACATCAATACAACCTGTTGAAAGCAAGAAAAGATTCATCAAAAAATGTCTAGATTTCAAAGAACGCCAGTTTTTGGGTAGCTGGATTTGAGAGTTCAGTGTAGAAACACTAGCTGTAGTAGGTCCAGCAGTGAAATCTGTTGTCACTACCACTGATAGCAGTGACTGTTAGATTGTATAAATAATCACTGCAATAGCCCAACAGCATTGTAAATGGAAGATAGTCTGAATCAATATAATCTCTTCCAACACCAGTGCCCAGTGAAAAGAATCGTATTAATATAGTTGTGTTTCACCTTTCAATACTTAAATATGTATTTAGCTTAAACCCAAACTACTTGTTGGCCATATTAATCACATTTCAAATAACAGAAAACTAATTTTTATTCGAAGTGTGTAATTTTGCTTAGGAGGTATAGTCTGCAAAAGCATTTATTCACTTTGAAGTTTTGTACTGTACTTTTTAAATGTGGTCCACGGGATGCTGGGGCATGCAATAAGTAGCCCATGAAGATGGAAATCTGGATGTGTCTCAACAATACTATGACAGTCTCAGTGCAATTGTAGGGCTGCAATTATTAACAACTGAATTAACATTAGCAGATACTCCAAAACCTGAGATTACCAGATACAGTCATTAACCGAGTGTGTTTCAGTGATCACGGGGACAAATTGTTTTTCTGTTTTCTCATGTAAGCCTGTTTGTAAACAATTTTTTTTAGGATTGTATTGCACATAAAATCTAGATGAAATCTTATCACCTGTCATTTCAACCGGGTATTTTAGATCGAGCCCCCTCGCACCACTTTCTCAAAAGCTCCTACAAGCTACTCTTCCAGTTATACTTTTTTTGGGACATGTATTAATGGTAAGACTTTAAAGCTGCTGCCATGGAAACAATGTCTGCCATGATAATGCACCTGTTTCCGTGAACTCTGCTTTTGATCACAGGTGTGCTATCTTGCTTTTATGTGTTACAGGTGAACGGCCCTTCCGCTGCAACCAGTGTGGTGCTTCATTTACTCAAAAAGGAAACCTACTGAGGCACATCAAGTTGCATACTGGAGAGAAACCCTTCAAATGCCCTTTCTGCAGCTATGCCTGCAGGAGGCGAGATGCACTGACTGGGCACCTAAGGACGCATTCTGGTAAGTTCACATGGCTATATGAATTGCAGCCTTTCTGCCTACGTTTGGGCATTGTAGGCCTCTAGCCACAGTTTCAATCTTGTCAGGAATGGAAACCCCCAATGTTTCCCTGACTAATTAAGCATGCATAATATTATCCAATAAATATTTATGTAACATACAAGTGATCCATGTTGTTGTGAAGTATTGTGTACCGGGTTAACTGGAGTTATCCAACTTTCAATTTGTAAAATGGAGAGTGAAGTACCCTACAAAACAAACATTACATTTTAAGAAGGTACCACTTTAACTGTAGAAACCTGCTGCAAATTCTGCCAAAGTGTGCATGATATATTGTAATCATTTCTAGTTTCTCTTTCTCTATTAGTTATGTTTGACAGTGTAGAACCATGTTGTTTTTAGGCATGATGCTGTTTGATGTATTGCGCGGTTGAAGGTGGTTGCTTTATGGTATTTGTGCTTTCAACATTCTGAAGCATGAATCTGTAGGTTTTTCAGTAGTTGTGTAATTTTTAAAAATCATTTGAATTTATATGGCTTAGTTTGACTTTTAGTTTGTTATTGCTCACATGGTGTAATGTGAAGTATCAGCATGTGAGGGAATGGGCTTTTTTAGCCTGTCTGCTCTTATGGAAGGAAATAATATGTTGTGTTCAGAGGTGGGAATTTTTTGGGCAGTTACACACAACCTTTGGATTGCTGGCAGGTTCAGGATAATTCTTGATTCGGCTAGTTGCCTGGATTTGTTTGTTTTACAGTGCACATACTGCAACATTGCAATAAAGAATTATGCAATAATAAAGCTATTCAAACATGATAAATACTTTTGTTCTTGTAATATTAATCATAATCTATTGGGGGTACATTTTAGCCTTCATTCGCCGATGGAACTGAATGAGGTGCCAGTTTTACACCATGTCATATTACTGTCCAATGAGATCAGCAAAGTGGAAATTAAATTGGGTCTAAAACAAACATTGCACCTGATCCTGTCAGTGTCTGAATGAGTAGTCTGTGTTAAAATTGCCTCTTAAATGTCTAAAGTTTAATTTTTAACATAAAAATGAGTGAATACTTTGCTCATGTTGTCCTTACTTTTGTCTTTTTTTTTATCCTATTTCCTCTGCTATTCTTTAAACAACGTGGAGTAAAGTGGATAATTTGGTCTTTATTGTTTGTTTACTTGGTCCCCCATCCATTTTGAAGAAAGAAGCAAGTTTTTTTTTAAAACATGGTCCACATTGACTGAAAACATATCTAAAAGATCACTTCCTATCTAATATATTTATCTTTGCACAGTTTGAGAATGGAGCCATTGATGCCTTCCAATCTGTCATACGACAGCATTTGAATTTTTAAAAGAACTGAGCTCAGTATTTAATCATATGATTTTTGAAAGCTTACATTTAAGCAGGGTTCATGGACAGATTATTTCAATTTGGTTAACAATAATGAATTTTTTTTGCAGTGGTTTTATTAGCAGTTTTATACTTTCATTTTCATTCTAGAAATTTATCTTTGTTAATTTGGTCTCAATTTACCATCTCAAAGGTTACAATTACTGCCTGCCATTAAGTATTTCAACCATTGGTTACAGTATTGTATAACATTTAAAGATTATTCCACATACTCTAGACAGAGCCTTCCATCAGTTCCTGTTGCTTGCATGAATACACAATTCTCAACTTGTTACATATGCATGTGTGAGAAGGATGGCAGAAGCTGTATTGAAAACAACAAATGCTGGAGTTCACAGTGGATCAGGCAGCATCCATGGAGAGAGAGCAAGCTAACAGTTCAAGTCTAGATGACTCTTCATCAGAGCTGACGTGAGTGTGGAGGGGGCAGCTTTTATGCTATAGTTGGGGTGGGGTGGTAAAGGTGGATTGAAGAGTGCTGGAGCAGAAAGGATGTTGATAGTTAACAGGATTGTGATTGGAAAGTGAGAGTGGCAGAACAATGGTGAGTCTAACTGCCTGATGGAAAGAAGAGACAGTCCCACTGGGGTGGGGGGAGGGGAGAGAGGACATGATGACAGAGAATGTAACAAGTAAAGCTCAAAGAATGGGAAAAACTGGGAGTTGGTTAACAATTTGACGGTGTTGAACTCAATATTAAGTCCAGAAGGTTATGAAATGTCTAGTCTGAAGGTGAGATGTTGTTCCTCCAGTTTGTGCTGAGATTCGCTGGAGCACTACAGCATGCCAAGGACAGACGAGTGGGCCTGCGAACAGGACACTGTGTTAAAATGACCAGCTATGGGAAGGTCAGAGTCATGCTTGCACACAGATTGGAGGTGTTCTGCCAATTGGTCACTCAGTCTGCGTTTGGCTTCTCTAATGTAGAGTAGGCCACATCTTGTGCAGCGAATACAATAAACCAGATTGGAGGAGGTACAAGTAAAATGCTGCTTTCCACCTGGAAAAATTGTTTAGGCCCTTGGATGGTGAGCAGGTAGGAAGTGAAGGGGCAGGTATTGCATCTTCTGTGGTTACATGGGAAGGTGCCATGGGAAAGGGGGCATGATGTTAGCGGTCGATGAGTGGGCTTGGGTGTCCTGGAGGAAATGATCCCTGCAAAATGCAGATGGGGGAGTGAGGGGAAGATGTGTTTGGTGGTGACATTTTGCTGGAGTTTTCTGAAATGGCAGTGAATGATCATTTGAATGCAGAGACCGGTAGGATGAAAAGAGAGGACCAGGGGGACCCGATCATGTTGTCAGTGATAGGAAGGGGCAAGGGTGGATTCATGGGTGATAGGTCAGAGTAGTTGAAGGCCCTTTCAACCACAGTGGCTGGGAAACCACGGTCATGGAAGAGGGAAGCCATGTCACCCGTGCTGTATTGGAAGGTGGCATCATCCGAACAGATACGATGTAGGCGAAAGGAAATGAGAGAATGGGATGGAATCCTTGCAGGACACGGGTTGTGAAGAGCTATAGTGAAAGTAGCTGTGGGAGTCAGTGGCTTTGTAGTGGATGACAGTGGATAGTTTATTCCCTGAAATGGAGACAGAGAGGTCAAGGAAAGGAAGAGAAGTGTCAGAAATGGACGATGTGAAGGTTACCGAGGGGTGGAAATTGGAGGCAAAATGAACAAATTTTTCAAGCTCCTGGCTGAAGCCTGAAGTAGTACTGAAACAGTCATTGATGTATCGAGAAAAGAGTTGTGGAAGGGGGCCAGCGTACGACTGGAACAAGGATTGTTCCACATACCCCATAAAGAGGCAGGCAAAGCTGGGATCCATGCGGTTGCCCATAGCCACTCCTTTGACTTGGCAAAAGTGAGATGAATTAAAGCAGAAATTGTTCTGTGAGAGAGCAAGTTCAGCCAAGCCGAGGAGAGTTGGTGGTGGATGGGGATTGTTCAGGCTTCTGGTTGAGGAAGAAGACGAGAGCTCTCAGACTATCCTTGTGGGGAATGGAGGTATAGAGAGATTAGACATCCATGGTGAACAAGAGGCGGTTAGGGCCAGGGAACTGGAAATTGTCAATATTGTGGAGGGCATCAGAGGAATTGCGCATGTAGGTGGGCAGGCTCTGGAAATGTGGAGAGAGGATGGAGTCAAGGTAGGAGGCAATGAGCTAGATTGGGGAAGAACAAACTGATACGATGACCCTACCAAGGCAGTCTGGTTTGTGGATTTTGGGAAGGACATTGAAGTGGGCTGTCCAGGGTTGGGAGACAGTAAGGTTGGAGGCAGTGGTAGGAAGATCTCTGGATGTAGTGATGTCAGTGACAGTCCTGGCAACAATGGTTTGATGTTTGGAAGTGGGGTCATGGTCGGGGGGAGGTAGGAAGAAATATCTGAGAGTTGACATTGAACCTCCACAATGTAAAGATCAGTGCGCCAGACTACAATGGCACCTCCTGTATTTTGGCAGGCAGGAGGTTCTCGTCACTACTGCCATCTTCTGGGGCCAAAAGTGCAGGCAGCATACTTAAAGGGCATGTGCACAGCCATTCACTCACTCCAAGCTAGAAGCATCACTGCAGCCTGTGTTGGACATCATGCTCCTGGACATGCCACCAGCATGCTGAGTGGCAGCATGGTTCAGTGATGCCTCACTACAGGTTGTCCTCCTTTTCCTATTCCCCAGTTATGAGAGCAGGAAGCCTTCCCATCAGGCCTAGGCAGACAGGATAGAGATTGCAGCCCAGAGAAAAACCTGGCTCCAAAGCAACTCAAGGGTGAGCAATCCCCCATGTTCCACAACAGTAAGTACTTTTACCACAAAGTGACGGTCATAGGACCATCGTGAAATCTAACTGTGCCCATATAGAGAGATGTCAAAGAGGAAGCTAATGTGCAAGCCTCAGCACCAGATGGAAAATGTGTAATGAGTGTGTGCCGGTCACCTCTTGCTATCAGTTTTCTACTAGTTGCAAGCCAGGACAGTTCCTGTTCATATAGGTAGGCTCAGGAGCTGGTGTTGGTATGCATACTAATGAAGTGCTAATGCACCAATACGGATGATATTCAATTATTTGCTTTGTCTATCTGCAGAAGAATATGCATAATAGGAGGGAGTGGCCTCGACTGGCAGATGGATGGAAGATATTCAAATCCTCAACCCTTTTGAGGAGGAGGCCACAGAGCTGGAAGTGGGGGATGTGACTGTGACTGTGTCTGTGCTCAGGGAGAAATAGGCCAGTGAGAATGCCTGCAGTCTGCTGTTGTCAGATGGGTCAACGGAGTAAGGCTGTTTAGATAAGAGAGTGCACATACCATCAGCTAAATCTTTCTCTTCACTATTGTAGGCAGTAAAAACCAATGGAAGGGAAAAAAAAGAGGAGGCAGCCTTACCCTATCTCCAATCTACACCCTCCTCCAGTACCACCTTTACCACCACCTTTGAGCTTGATATCTCCTAAACTTTGGAGAATGTACCAGTGTGGTGTTCACCTGCACCCTCCACCAGCACATTCACCTCTGTGGATGCACGTTCTAGATTAGACTTAAGGTCACAAATGGTGAACATATCACTGAATGACGCCAGC